AGGGAGAGAGGGAAGAGGGGAGAAAGAGAGGGAAGAGGGAAGAGGTGAGAAAGAGAGGGAGGGAAGAGGGGAGAAATAGAGAGAGGGAAGAGGGGAGAAAGAGAGAGAGGGAAGAGGGGAGAAAGAGAGAGAGGGAAGAGGGGAGAAAGAGAGAGAGGGAAGAGGGGAGAAAGAGAGAGAGGGAAGAGGGGAGAAAGGGAGAGAGAGGGGGAAGAGGAGAAAAGAGAGTGAGAGGGGGGGGAGGGGAGGGGAGAAAGAGCGAGAGAGGGAAGAAGGGAGAAAAGAGAGAGAGAGAGAGAAGGGAGAGAGGGAGAAAGAGAGAGAGAGGGAGAAGATGGGAGAAAGAGAGAGAGAGGGAAGAGGGGTTAAAGAGAGAGAGAGAGAAGGGAGAGATGGATAGAGAGAGAGGGGAGAAAGAGAGAGAAAGGGAAGAGGGGAGAAAGAGAGAGAGAGGGAAGAGGGGAGGAAGAGAGAGAGAGGGAAGAGGGGAGGAAGAGAGAGAGAGGGAAGAGGGGAGGAAGAGAGAGAGGGGGGGAAGAGGGGAGAAAGAGAGAGGGGGGGAAGAGGGGAGAAAGAGAGAGGGAAGAAGGGAGAGAAAGAGAGAGAGGGAAGAGGGGAGAAAGAGAGAGAGGGAAGAGGGGAGAAAGAGAGAGAGAGGGGAGAAAGAGAGAGAGAGGGAAGAGGGGAGAAAGAGAGAGAGAGGGAAGAAGGGAGAAAGAGAGAGAGAGGGGAGAAAGAGAGAGAGAGGGAAGAGGGGAGAAAGAGAGAGATTGAGAGAGGGAAGAAGGGAGAAAGAGAGGGAAGAAGGGAGAAAGAGAGAGAGAGAGGGAAGAAGGGAGAAAGAGAGAGAGAGAGGGAAGAGGGGAGAGAGAGAAGGAAGAGGAGAGAGAGAGAAAGAGGAAAAGGAAAGGGGAAGAGGGGAAAGAGAGAGACAGAGAAGAGGGGAGAGAGAGAGAGAGAGAGACAGATAAGAGGGGAGAGAGAGAGAGAGACAGAGGAGAGGGGGAGAGGGAGACAGATAAGAGGGGAGAGAGAGGAGAAACAGAGAAGAGGGGAGAGAGAGACAGAGAAGAGGGGAGAGAGAGAGAGAGAGACAGAGGAGAGGGGGAGAGGGAGACAGATAAAAGGGGGGAGAGAGAGAAGAGGGGAGAGAGAAAGAGAGACAGAGAAATAGAGAAGAGGGGAGAGAGAGGAGAGACAGAGAAGAGGGGAGAAACAGAGAAGAAGGGAGAGAGACAGAGAAATAGAGAAGAGGGGAGAGAGAGACAGAGAAGAGGGGAGAGAGAGACAGAGAAGAGTAGAGAGAGAAACAGAAAAGAGGGGAGCGAGAGAGAGAGAGAGAGAGAGAGGGAAGAAGGAGAGAGAGAGAGATAAGGAAGAAGGAGAGAGAGAGAGAGAGAGCGAGAGAGAGGGAAGAGGAAAGAGAGAGCGAGAGAGAGGGAAGAGGAGAGAGAGAAAGCGAGAGAGAGGGAAGAGGAGAAAGAGACACCGAAAGAGACGGAAGAGGAGAGAGACCGAGAAGGAAGAGTAGAGAGAGAGCGAGAGAGAGGGAAGAGTAGAGAGAGAGCGAGAGAGAGGGAAGAGTAGAGAGAGAGCGAGAGAGAGGGAAGAGTAGAGAGAGAGCGAGAGAGAGGGAAGAGTAGAGAGAGAGCGAGAGAGAGGGAAGAGTAGAGAGAGAGCGAGAGAGAGGGAAGAGTAGAGAGAGAGCGAGAGAGAGGGAAGAGTAGAGAGAGAGCGAGAGAGAGGGAAGAGTAGAGAGAGAGCGAGAGAGAGGGAAGAGGAGAGAGAGAGAGTGAAGAGGAGAGAGAGAGAGGGGAGAGGAGAGAGAGAGAGAGAGAGAGAGAGAGAGAGAGAGAGAGAGAGAGAGGGAAGAGGAGAGAGAGAGAGAGGGGGGGGGGGGAAGAGGAGAGAGAGAGAGGGGGGAAGAGGAGAGAGAGAGGGGGGGGAGAGGAGAGAGAGAGAGAGGGGGGGGAGAGGAGAGAGAGGGGGGGGAGAGAGAGAGAGGGGGGGGAGAAGAGAGAGAGGGGGGGGAAGAGGAGAGAGAGGGGGGGGAAGAGGAGAGAGAGAGGGGGGGGAAGAGGAGAGAGAGAGAGGGGGGAGAGGAGAGAGAGAGGGGGGAGAGAGAGAGAGAGAAAATTGAAAGTGAGTGAGAGAGAGAGAGGGAAGAGGAGAGAGAGAGAGAAAAGGAGAGAGCAAGTGAGAGAGAAAGAGAAAGAGAAAAAATTGAAAGTGAGAGAGAGAGAGAGAGAGAGAGAATGAATTAAAGAGAACGAGAGCGAGAGACAAGTATTGGATTTCCTATTGAGAGATGTTATGAAGTTTAGATATAAACTTATGCATGTTTACACAATATGTAAACATGCATAAGTGCACACATCTCTGTGGAGGTTAATTTTTTATTTAAAGAAATGAGATAAACGAAGCCCGTATCCTGTTTGTAATCCCGTTTGTCTCCTGGCCGGGACGAGACCCTCCCCCCTTGTCCCGTCACTTTCTGAAACGAACAGGCATGCATGGGGGGGGGGGGGCAAAACTGTTCCATCTTGAACAGGCATCTCAGGTGGGGGAGAAACTGTTCCATCTTGAACAGGCATCTCAGGTGGGGGAGAAACTGTTCCATCTTGAACAGGCATCTCAGGTGGGGGAGAAACTGTTCCATCTTGAACAGGCATCTCAGGTGGGGGAGAAACTGTTACATCTTGAACAGGCATCTCAGGTGGGGGAGAAACTGTACATCTTGAACAGGCATCTCAGGTGGGGGAGAAACTGTTACATCTTGAACAGGCATCTCAGGTGGGGGAGAAACTGTTACATCTTGAACAGGCATCTCAGGTGGGGGCGAAACTGTTCCATCTTGAACAGTCGTACCAGGTGGGGGAATCTCTGTCCCAGCTTGTTGAATCTGTTCAAGGAGTTGCAGATCAGTCTCGTCCGTTGAAAAAATGTGTTCTACATGTATATTGTGTTAACTCTCACTTACTCTTATTCTTTGCCATCTCTCTCTCTCTCCCTCTCCCTCTCCCTCCCTCTCCCCCTTTCTCTCTCTCTCTCTCTCCCTCTCCCCCTTTCTCTCTCTCTCTCTCTCTCTCTCTCTCTCTCTCTCCCTCCCTCTCCCCCTTTCTCTCTCTCTCTCTCTCTCTTTCTTTCTTTCCCTCTCTCTCTCTTTCTTTCTTTCTTTCTTTCTTTCTTTCTTTCTTTTTCTCCCTTTCTCCTCCCCCCCCCTCTCTCTCTCTCTCTCTCTCTCTCTCTCTCTCTCTCTCTCTCTCTCTCTCTCTCTCTCTCTCTCTCTCTCTCTCTCTCCTCTCTCTCTCCCTCTCTCTCTCTCTCTCTCTCTCTCTCTCTCTCTCTCTCTCTCTCTCTCTCTCTCTGTATCGACTGCTCAGAAATTTCTATGAACAAACTTCGTTTTGAAACATAGAAATAGAAAACACGAAAGGATTTGAATGAACACAAATTCAGATACATATGGTCACATGGTGGTTTCGTGGTGAAGAAGCAAGGTGTACCTTATATACCGTTGTATGTAAGAAGATAGTTATGGTGTTTACAAGACTAAAAAGTTTCGTGACAAGAGACAGAATTGACGAGTATTCATAAAACACAAAAGTGTTTGAATATCGATAATAATAGCAATTACATACTTAGTGATTCTGAATAAGCATTTGCTAGCAAGCATTTTGAGTATAAACAAAACATGATTTTACATAAAGACATCAGAATAACAGAATGGGAACTGCTCGCGAGCAATAAGGGTTGATTTAGGGTGTTCTAAGGTCACTTCGTTATTGTTGCGGGTGTAGACCTGTTGGGAGTCGATTGAGGACAGTGGTGTTCTCTCTCTCTCTCTCTCTTTCTCATTCTCTCTTTTATTCTCTCTCTCTTTCTCATTCTTTCTTCTCATTCTCTCTCTCTCTCTTTTCTCACTCTCTCTCTCTATCTGTCTCTTTTTCATTCTCTCACTCTCACTCTCTCTCTCTCTCTCTCTCTCTCTCTCTCTCTCTCTCTCTCTCTCTCTCTCATTATCTCTCTCTCTCTCTCTTTCCCCCCCTCTCTCTCATTCTATCTATCTATCTATCTCCCCCTCTCCCTCTCTCCCTCCCTCCCTCCCTCCCTCCCTCCCTCCCTCCCTCTCCCTCTCTCTCTCTGTCATTATCTATCTCTCTCTTTCTCATATTATATCTCTCTCTCTCTCTCTCTCTCTCTCTCTCTCTCTCTCTCTCTCTCTCTCTCTCTCACTCAGCCTGTTTATCTATCTGTCTGACTTTGTCTTTCTCTGTCTTGCAGTCTATCTCTGTGCCATGTTTCTCTCTATTTTGCTGTCTAATTCTTTGTCTTTCTGTTTGTCTGGGCGCGCGCGCGCATTAAGTTGTGTTGCAGGTGGGCCACGAGTTTCAGGGCGAGGCCTTAATGTAAATCATGGCAGCTGCGAGAGCATAATGTCATACCACCGATTGGAAGGTGATCCATGTAGTTGGTATGAAGGAGGGTGATATTTTATCACAGGAAGTAGTGATATGCCAGATAAGACGTTTTAACCATTTTATCAGAGGAAGTAGTGATATGCCAGATAGAACTTTCACCTGAATGTTCTTTGACTTAGGCTACCCCCAGTCTGGACACGTATAGACAACGAATATGAATTTTATCGCATAGAAAATATCAGTATTCGCTTGTTTACTTAAGTATATGTTTCGGCGTGAAGGAGTATGAGTCCGTATTGCAGAATGTACCTTTATCGAGTTTTCCATGACATGCCATCAGGTTCACACCACTTGAGTTGCACACATAGCAATTAGAGGTAGCTTACAATGCGGTAGTTTGTGGCCCATTCCAATTGTTTCACACTACATTGGAACATTTTTTTATTTCTATAATCCTTAAACTGTTTTCTATAGCCATTCCCAGAGTAGCCACAAACTTTTTAACACATGTACATATATATATATATATATATTTTGTGTGTTTGATAAAAATGTAACTTACATGTAAATGTCTTTTAGGTTTCTCGTCTGGTGATCTTGCACGAAGAGGCAGAAGATGGCAACGCGATGCCAGACTTGGAGAAGCCGGTCATGGCTGTCTCTAAAGCTGTCGTCAACCTCGTCAAGGTGAGTTTTCGTTTGTAAAAGCTGTTTTTATTATCTGCATTATTTTTATTTGGAAGAAAAATATGGTAGAAGAACAACGTTGATAGCAGGGTCCAGAAAAAATGCAACCACGAGACTTTGTAAACATTTTTGTAGCCAAATTTGCAAGGGGCAATATAATATGCAACTTGTTTCCTCTTTAATGGCATCATTCGCCTCAGAGGTGGGGTAAATTATCACTGTCATTTGTGGGTATCAGCAAGAATAAAGTTCAGCTTGTATATTATAGCAGACATCCTCAATACAGTCTATGATAAGATGTTAATGGGCAGTAATAAAAACAGAATGGGGTCTTTATTGTTACTGGTTGAATTGAAAGGAGAGGATCTGTGATAAATAATTCCAAAACTACTGTTACTTCTCTGCTTCTTATATTCCAGTAATTACAGTATTTTGTTGCTTATCGTTTAAATAACTATTAACATTTTTGCACATAAGCAAAACGTGTAAGTTTCATTTGTTTAATGTACTCAGTACGATGTAAAATATATGCTCAAATGCCCGATGGTTTTTATTACCATGATTTATAAGAAAATAGAGCCATTTCTTGTTTACACCCCCATGTGTTTCATTAATATAACGCCCCTTTTAATTATTCAGGGCGGCCAAAAGACAAAATCCCGCAGCTATGTTTTTTTATAACCTCAAGGCGTAAACATTTTCCAAAACCTCAGAAGACGGGAAACAACTTTTGGAGACATAATCTATGTAATCTTGATAAGGAGCGATTATGGCTTATATTATTAAAAAGATTTCGAACTTTGCGTATATTTCTCGTAAAGGCGAGATATTACTCTAAATACCTTTTTTGCGAAAGGCACAACTCCTCAGAACTAGTGCATTAATAAAAAAAAATTAAAGAAAATGGAACGAAGTAACACTGGACAATTCCTTTCTGAACGAAGGAAGATCAGTCCAATCATCATAATTCAAGACCTCAGCAAGAGTCGGCATACGCTTTAGCTATAAACAATGGGAGCTAATTATTACTAAAGCAATATACCAAAATAGTATAGACAGCTGCAGCATACTGATGTAAACACGTGTGTTTGCCTTGGAAAAGATAATAGAATTTCCTTATACATAGCGAATAGAAAAAAATATGATGTAAACATTCAAATGGAAATATTATCTTTGAGTGTTTAATTCTTCTTGCTCGCAATGGAAAGGAGACAGGACGGGGCGCATGTTATTAGAAACCGATATTCACTGCCCATACTTTTCCTATTTTCCACAACATATTCATAAAGCAAAGAAATGCGATAAAACGGTTTTCAAGTTTTCTTTTTCGATTTTTTTCTTGAAAATACACCATAAATACAAGATCGAAATAAGGAGTGTAGAACATACAAACACTTGAATATTCTCTTTCTTTAAAATATGAAGACTGGTCATTACTTTCCGCCTCAAAATTGGAGAAATAGAACTTCCGATTAATCATTGCCCAAATTTGCTGTAGATAGATATGATGTAACTCTATAGATCGAATAGAAATAAGTTAGAGGTATGTAAACTTGGAAATGCAAATATCTCGTTGCAGAAATAGCTCTGTACGAATTTCTTTCGGAATTACAGTGGGAAGAGCACCATCGTTTTGTAGATCCCAGTAATTGCTTATTTTATATTTGTTGTGTTTTTATCAAAGGCCTACTTTTGATGAGTTGTATCATAAAAACACGGTTGGAAAAAAGAAGTGGACTAATTTTCTAAAATCCACACTTGGTATCTCCAAGTAAAGCTAGAGGTATGTGTTTGAAATCGGTGCTCCAAAAAAATAGAGAAAGGAAACAACATAGCGTACCGTGAACTGAGGTAACATATTCCTAGAAATTTCACTCTATCTAGGGAAGCCTCTCTCTATTTTTGCTCCTTGGCTGTAGGTAAACAACGCTCATTAGATTTCCAGTAGGACGTAGCGACAACTAAAAAGTTTTAATATCGGTTCAATAGAGAGAAACTCGCATTTCTGTGCCATACTAAAGAGCATCTTGAATATGCGAAAGAAAAAGTGATCGAGACTGATGAACAGCATTCGTAAGGTCATGTATAGTCACTGAGAAGGCTAATTGATAACGAACTGTAAATATTATAAAGAAGCGTCAGTAATAGTAAAGATATGTACATGAAAAATAAGAAGCATAAGTAATTACAGTAACATCTGCAAATTAGAATCAGCGGATTTTTTTGTAACTAAAAAATATATTGAACTCCGAAGCGCTTCGGGCAACTAAACAAAAAGCTTTGTCTACTCTAATGATCTGTTCCCTGGAAATGAAATGTGAAGTAAAAGCACGAAAACCCTTCCGGATGTTGACCGTGCTCTCTCTTTATGAAAAATAGGAAACAGGCTCTATACCTTTGCAATAAAGGCAAGTCTGTGTCGAGCAATGTTTTGTTTTAGAGTAAGATACTAAATAATGGGTAGCCATGAATCTTGGATTTTTAAAATGTTTTAAAGAGA